TTTTTTTTGTATGGAGAGTGAAGCACCCTAATGTAGGTATATACATATTTATGTACATATATTCCAAACCCCATAGGCCATTCGAGCATGTTCTACTTGCTTCATTTTTTTATAATTGTATGTACATATGTATGTATGCCGTTTTAAGTAACCTTCGGCAAAATAAAGAGTTCAAACGTGAGTATGTATGTATGTGTATGTCCATATTTATCCGTATATGTGCTGAGTTAAACTTTATTGCGGTTATAGTTTAATTATTTAAAGCAAAACGCTCATTTAGCCACATTAAAAGCTGGCTACGAGTTAGTTTTTATGTTTGCCGCTGAGAAACAGCTTCCAACTGCGTTGCCCTAGGATCGTAAGGTCATTCACAAGCACCTCTCTTGGAATTAATTGGAGTAAATGAAAGTATTTTTGTGAAGTCTTGCAAAACTCTATTGGGGTATTTTCCGCGTCTTGCAAAGCCCTTGCACGGTGCGCCGCGGTCCCTAATATATCTTGAAACTTTCGTTTCTTTTTCGAAAAGACCTCTGCCTAAAAAAACTTATCCCAGTACTCATTACTGGTAATTTTCCAAAGATAATATGAAAGATATGTACTAGAATTTAATAAGTTAATCAGTAGTGTGTAGTAGTAAAAGTGGCACTGCGAGTTAAACGGTTATTTTATATCCCGGCAAACATTCCCTTACCGAGTTTGACAACAGTTTAAAGATTAGCCGATTAGCAGGACTAAGTACCCGCTACAACAACAACAACCTGTATAAGGACCTCTATTGCTCCCCCTCCTTACTGCTGAGTAAGTTTATCCTCTTTATTAAGTGTCGTAGACGACGAACTGAAACCACAAATGAAGGTCCAGCAAAAACGGTTTAAGATCTTTAGCTCGTTGGCAACTTTGTTTTCTTCGATATTGCATTAGCCTGGAAGCCAGCACAGTCTTTCGATGCCACCAAAAGTCTCAAAAGATACCTTAGCAGGTTATCTTATTGGATAGATCCCGGTGCTAGCAGATCGAGATTGGTCTAACATCTCGGTCTAGAACAGATAGAGCAACTTGCCATTGCGATTGAAAATTTAGTGCCGAGTTAGAGTGTCTCGCGAAAAAAATTGCGTGATTTGTGTGAACTAGACCTATTTGAAAATACCTCCAAAAAACTCTTTATTTTGATTTCGTTGATACAATTTTTAACCATATTTAGGCAGACCTTTTAATTTTAAACTCTTCTATCATCTGAGGGGATTTAAAAAAATTTTTTTTTTTTATAAATAGCTCGATTTTTGGAGTAATTTTCATATAGGTCCAGCTCACGTAATTATAATAAATTTTATGATTCCGATGGAAAAACTACACTGATCTTTTTTTTGTATGGAGAATGATGCACCACAATGTGCATATCTGGTATCAATGTAAAGAAATCCGTTTATTCAGACATATGTATATAGAATAGGGATGTTTGCAAGAAGCTTTCATTAATTCTAAGGAATACTACCTATATACATAGATATACTTAGAATAAAAACTTCTTTAGTATGATGAGAAACAATGAATGTTTTCTCCTCAAATTATAGAAAATAAGTTATCGAGCGTTCTCTGAAGAGTTTCGTCAACCAAGCAATCACTCTTTTGAACTGTATTAAGCCACTAGAAACACTTAATTTTTTTTTTTGTAACAGCGTGCATTCAGCATTTCTATGAATTTACATATTACGCGATGCTTGCGTGCTTTTTATAAATATTCGCTTGATACAA